TTGGGACCAACAGATGGTGTAATGGTTAAATCACTGGATTCCCATGTAGTCAACTGCAGTTGACTGGACCCAGCAGCTTAAAACTCAAGCCTGCCACATGTGCACACATGCCCAAAATTCCAAGAGGAAAATGGAGGAGAAGGGAAAACAGTGTGGCCATCCCCTCTGGGGGGGTGGGGGGGGATGATTTCTTGCTTTCTGTCTCTCTGGTAAGCACACATGCCCTATAGCAAAAATCTCTCTGAAAAAAGAAAAAAAAAAAAAGAATGTGGATCGGGGCCCAGCATGTGGCGCAGTAGCTAAGGAGCAGGACTCCCACATGCCCGATGGTGGTAAGAGCACTAAAATGGTGGCCTGAAAACCAGGCCAAGCACATGTGTGTGCATACATCCAAAATCATGAGAGGAGAATGGAGGACAAGGGACTGAGGCATGGCCATCCCCCAGGCTCTCTCCGGCAGGTGCACATACTCTACGGCAAAAACCTTAAAAAAGAGAAAGAAAAGAAAGAAAGAGAGAGAGAAAGAAAGAGAGAGAGAGAATCGAAGGATTCCATTATACTGTTGTTAAGGATAGCTGTATGTTTCAACCACATTGTTAGCGACATGGGGACATATGGGTATGGCAAATCCAATAAAAATATAATTATGACTCATTCTAATATCATTTTCCCACCTATTCACATTTGCTTTATATTATCTAAAATATATATCTTAAAGTTACAAAATTTGTGTATTCATTTGAAGAGAGAAATAGTGATTCGCTGCTCCTGCTCTGCACGTTAACTGTCGGAAGGTGTATACACGTGCCAGAAAGAGACAAGAGATGATGGGACAGAGAGAGAGAAAGAGAAGGGAACTATTAATGGGGCCTCATCATATCACAATTTATTCTCCATTTCTCCACCCTCCTGGGATTCTAGGCACGCATGCACATGTACCCAGCATGCTCTTCAAGCCCCAGGACTGAGATCTGAACCACGGTCAGCCATGTGGTATCTGTCTCCCTTAACCAGTCAGACATGCCAGCCCCAGCTTTCGCTTTTTTAAGATTTTAAGTCATTTACGGTTCCATATACAAATGAATGGATGTGGACCTCTATCTCACTTAAAATACAAAAACCAACATGTACTTGATCGAAGACGCAAATGTAAGAGCTAGTTAGAAAACTTGGAGAAAGAAACAAAGTTGAATATATGCATGTCCTTAAATAGACAATGGCATTTTTACCTAAAATACCATTGTTATACCTATAACACCAAAAGCATATACAATCAAAGAAAAAATAAATAAACTGCTTTTCATCAAAATTAAAAATCTTTGTGCATCAAAGGATACTATCAATGAAGTGAAAGACAATCCATAGAATGAGAGAAAACATTTGTAAATTATCTATATGATAAGGAGCTTGTTTCCAAATACATTAAACAATTCTTATGGGACCAGTAGATGGAGTAATTGTTATGTCAGTGGACTCCCAGGTAGTCAACTGTAGTTTGAGTCCTGGACTAGGTAACTTAAAATTTATGCAGGGGTGTGTGTATGTGTGTGCGTGTGTGTACCCAAAATCCTGAGAGGAGAATGGAGGAGAAGGGATTGCAGTATGGCCATTCCTTCTGAGGAGTGATTTCTCACTTTATGTCCCTCTGTCTCTCTCTGATAAGCATATGCACCCTATAGAAAAAACCTCTCTTAAAAAAAAAAATTCTTACAATTCAGCAATTAATAAACAACTCAATTGGGCCAGCAGGTAGCATGATGGTTACAGCGCTGGACTCTAACATGGTCAACCATGGTTCAAAACCTGGAACTGGCGGCTGGTTTTCTCACTTTCCTTCTCTATCTGGTGAATTTAAAAAATAATAATAATAATAAATAAAATTAAATAAATAATTATTTAAAAGGCTGGAGCGGGGGAAGAGGGCAACAACAGGTAGTGTGGTAGTTAAGGTGCTGGACTTCCACATGGCTGACCATGGTTTGAGTCCTGGACCTGGTGGCTTACTTACTCACTTTCTTTCTCTGGTGAATGCATATGTCCTATAGCAAATTAAAACATAATGACAATAATAAATACAAACAAAAAATAATTTTAAAGGAAAAGAAAACAACTGAAAAACATAAAGATAATGAACAAACATATTTCCAAAGAAACATTATTCATTAGTAACATGCAAATAAAAACTACAATGTGATACCATTTCATAGCCACTAGGATGTCTATAAATTATTTTTTAATTTACTAGAGGGCATGTGTGCTCAACAGAAACAGAGAGAGTGAGGGAACGTGAGCATGCACCCCACGATGGATGCAATTCCTTCTCCCCTCTCCCTCCCTTCAGGACTCTGGGCACGCATGCATACGCGCCTAGTGTATTTCTCAAGCTGCTGGGTTTAGACTGGAACCATGAAGTCGGCCATCTGGGATCCAGCACCTTAGCCAGATGGCCCTAAGACGCTCATAATTTTAAAAAATGAAAAATAACAAGTGCCAGCAGGGATGTGGAGAATTTGGAACATTCATATATTGCCAGTGGGAATGCAAAGTGGTGCAACCACTGTGGAAAACAGTTTCGTAATTCCTTAAAACCTTACACATAGAATTACCATATGGCCTGGCAGTTCTACGGCTAGATCTTTACCCACGAGAACTGAAAACATGTGAGTGTAAAGACCTGTACATAAATATTCATAGCACCATTTTTCATAATGGCCATAACCCAGAAACAACCCTAATCTCCACAAGCTGACAAATAAGCATATGTGGTAAATGCTTGCAAGGGAATACTATTCACTCGTTAAAAGGAATGAGGTACTATCCTGTACTGCGGCATGAATGGACCCTGAAAACATGGTAAGTGAAAAACACTAGATCCAATAGGCCCCACATTAAACAATTCTATACATTTATATGTAAGATGTCTGGAATAGCTAAATCCATAGAGACCAAACTAGATTACGGGTTGTCAAATGGGGTGGGAAACATAAGCATAAACAAACCACTAAACATAGACTTTAAAATGGTCAATTTTATGTTATATGAAGTATTAATACATCACAAAAAATAATTTAAATAACAATGCCAATTTAGCAGGGTTTTTTTTTTGGGGGGGGGCGGGGTTTGCTACAGGGCACCTGTGCTTGCCAGAAA